CATGATTCTCACCTTCCCAACACAATCGCTGAAGACAAAGTAGGTGCATAAGCAAATGTGGTGAAGAAAGCTGATGAGGCCCCGCTATCAAAAGATACAGTGTCTAGGGTCTTAAAGACTTGAATGTAAACAAGTGGCCATCTAGCTCAGAAGCAACAAAGCACACATGGAAGAAGCACACCAGCCTGTACGATCACAAGCTGTTGAAGGGGTCAGGTATCAGGCATCAAAGAACATAAAATCATATAATTGTGAATGTGGGGGAGTGCGGAGTGGGGACCCAAAGCCTATCTGTAGGCAACTGGACATCTCCTTACAGAAGGGTTGTGGGGAGGAGATGAGCCAGTCAGGGTGCAGTGTAGCAACTATGAAACATACAGCTTTCCTGTAGTTCCTAAAAGCTTCCTACCCCTACCCCCCACCCACCCCCACTATCATGATCCCAATTCTACCTTACAAATCTGGCTTGACCAGAGGATATACACTGGTACAGATAGGAACTGGAAACACAGGGAACCCAGGACGTATGATCCCTTCAGGACCATTGGTGAGAGTGGTGATACCAGGAGGGTTGAGGGAGGGTAGGGTGGAAAGGGGGAGCAGATTATAGGTATCTACATATAACCTCCTCCCTGGGTGATGGACAACAGAAAAGTGGGTGCAGGGAGATGTCAGTGTAAGGTATGACAAAATAATAATGTATAAATTATCAAGGGTTCATGAGAGAGGGGGTAGTGGGGAGGGAGGGGGAGAAAATGAGCTGATGCCAAGGGCTTAAGTGGAGAGCAAATGTTTTGAGAATGATGAGGGCAACAAATGTACAAATGTGCTTTACCAATTGATATATGTATGGATTGTGATAAGAGTTGTATGATCCCCCAATAAAATGCTAAAAACAAAACAAAAATAAAAATGTCTACTTATAGTGCATTTGGACTTAATTCCACCAGGTCAGGCTGTTAATCAAGCTTTATATTTAGACGTTCTGAAAAGATAGTGTCACAGTGTGCAACAAAAAGACCTGATTTGTGGCAGACAGAAGGGATTTTCCACTATGACAATGCACCTGCTCATGTAGCCATCTCAGTGTGCCAGTTTTTAGCAAAACAAAACAAAAAAACAGCATTCTTCTCTTGCCCCATGCACCTTACTTCCCTGACCTTGCTCCTTGCGATTTCTTTTTGTTTCCACGAATGCAGAGGGACATGAAAAGATAGTGATTTGACAACTAGAAGAGGTGAAGGAAAAAACCAAGGAGGTGCTGTCAGCCATCCAAACAAATGAGTTTGAAAAATGTTTCCAAAAATGGAATCGCAGATTTGACAAATGTATGAAGTGTAATGGAGAGTACTTTGATGGTGATAAGGTTGTTTTGTAAAAAAAATGAAATACATAGCTTTGAAAAAATACCATTTTTGGGGGTGTAGCCCTTGTATATACCTACATGGAGAATATGTTGAGAAGTAATAGTATCATATTTTGATATTTTCATTTAGTAAAAGTATATTATTTTGTAGCAATACTTATTTTTCTCATATTTTTAATAATATCATTGAGCTTCTTTTGCCTCCATTTGAAAGCAGGCTTGGTTTTTTAACTGATCAGATTACAGAAATAATCATGGCAGACACCTTTGTTCATCCTTCCAGTAAGCCTTTTGATCTGGTTATCCCTGTTGCCAGCATCTCCACCTGGGTGGTCTTTTTCTTCATCCCACCTCATGGAAAAGATAATTTGAAGGGCTACAGGAAGTTACTTACTTTGAAGTTTTTCTCAACAGTATAGATCTCATGAATCAGATCCTCCATGCAGATGATGCCATAGTTACCAAGAGATCATGCAATCAAAGTGTTATCTGTCAGGGCCAATATGCTTCTTACTTATTTTGCCATTGTTTGTTCATTCACTGACTTCAGTTTTGAGTACTCCCATGCAATGTATGGTTCCATAATCCTGAGCATGTTAGTTGAAGCCTTGTTAAGTTTAACAAAGGTGCCATTGAGAATCTGGTGAAGGTAAAGAAGCTTTAACAGTTTTCAAACCTTTGGGCTTACAACATTGATACTTCTGATCCTGATAACAAACAACAGCTTGAGTTCTTCAGGTACATAGATGTTGGCAGTTTTTCTTGACATCCTAGCCATTCGAATATCAGTTCTGTACATCTGCCTATATTCCTTGTGATGGTGTTTAGCTTTCTCATAGATAGGCTTCCTCCTTGCCTTTTGAAACAGTTTTTGGGCAAACTTTCTCGGGCCCTTGATCTTTAGTTCTGTGAAATTCCTTCGTTTTTCTTAAGGTTTTGTGGAATAGCACATACATTCTTTTTCTTCTCTGCGACACCCTCCGTGGTTCCAGATTGCTTAAAAAAAAATAAACTGTCATTGAGAATTAAAATCCATTTTAATCAAAATTTATCATAATTCCTTGTCAATGCAGCCTATGGCATCCTTGTTTCTTGACCTTATTTAATTTGTATATTATCACTCAAATTAAAAAAATTATGTAACTGGTATCTAAAGCCCATTGAAATTATGATTGTGAAATTGTCTTATGTTAAAAACCAGCAAACTAATATTATGTGCTGCTTTAACTCAGAAAGGCTAATAACTATTAAAAGGTTAATGTATATTTTTGGGGAATTATTTTTTTTTTAGAAATTATATAAAAAAGAAGTTCAACCTCCTTTTACACCTGCTTCTGGAAAACCAGATGATACTTTTTGTTTTGATCCCGAATTTACAGCAAAAACACCTAAAGGTAATGCATATATAAGTGTATAATCAGAGCTTCTATTCTTTTAGTTTTTTTTAAGTAACCTCTTTTTAGGTTAAAAGAATATGTTAAATTTGCATAGAGGATTTATTTGCTTTTTATGGAAATATATATCTTATATACATTTCTTGTATACCTATCGGGTAGCAGCTTTTAATGAGCACATTTTTGATGATAGCAAGCACTAAGGCAAAAGGTGGCAGTGTTATTTTCCTTTTTAATAGGTCTTTTGACATGCTTATGCTTTAGAGGGTAGGAGGTTTTATGAGATATATGAAGGAGGTATACAAAATCATGGGAAAATGGAATTAAAAATATAATAGAATCTTTTCACAAACTGTTTGAAGCCCTATCATATAATTCTGACTGTTAATATCAATGTTTTTTAAACATAATTCCAGATGTGTTATATATATATATATATACTATAGGATATAATGGAACTATCAGAAGATGTTATTTAAATAAAAATATAATTTATTAAACAGGATTATAGTATGTACTTATCTTCATGTCATTTCTAGAAGGATTAAAATTATATGGAATTATCTCTAGGTGCTATAATAGAGACATTTCACTTTACTAGTCTATCATCTGTGTTTTCCACCATGTATTTTCATTTCTTTTTTCCCCTATTTTTATTCACTTTCTGGTGATGAGAAATTGGAGTTACAATGTAGAATGTAATTCACTTTACTCATGCATTCATTCAACAAATATTAAATGCCTAATCTTTACTAAGGAGTAAGGATTCAGCAGTGTACGGAATAGGTAAAATTTTCTAGACAAATGAATGTCCGTAGTAGCAAGGAAAAAAACCACAAATCAGATATATATATTGTGTTAGATAGTGGCATTTAATATTTTCCTTGCTATTGAAAGAAATTCTGACATTTTACACATAAAAATTATATGCAGTTCTAAAAATTGTAATTATTTGAACCCTAGATTCTCCTGGATTGCCAGCCAGTGCTAATGCTCATCAGCTCTTTAAAGGATTCAGCTTTGTTGCAACTTCCATAGCAGAAGAATATAAAATTACTCCCATCACAAGTGAAAATGCACTACCAGTTGTTCAGGTAAACCCACTTAATCCAGACTACTTAGTTTTGGGATATATCAGTTTGGAGATAATTTTGTCTCTGATTAAAAATTTAATTTAAACACTAAATTGTTTATAATGATTAAAAGTGATTTTTAACTTCATAGTTTAGCCCTGGGTATAATTATAAATATGACTGTGATTTGGAAATAAAGTATTAATATTTAATTATATGTTTTTATGTTCTTTTGGCATGAAAATGTAATTACAATGCATAAACCAACTGTTTTATGGCATTCCTTTGAGGATTCAGAGAGCGTAGAATTTAAGTGTGTGTGTACCTAATCCTAAATTCTAGGCTCTATGAACATCCAAAAAAGTAAACCAAACTCACTCCCGTAGAGTCAATTCTGACTCATAATGACCCTTTAGGACAGGGTAGAATTTCCCCTGTGGGTTTCCAAGATTATAACTCTTTACAGGGGTAGAAAGCCTCATATTTCTAATATACATTAATGTTTTAAGATTTATAATGAACATAGATTTATGAGAGTTGAAAACTAATGGAAAATATCTCATTCTTCTTAATATTTTACTTAATCTCCCCCCAAAACTTGGAAAGCTGTTATTATTGAAGAATTTGGAGGAAGAGTTTCATATTATAATAAAAATGCTAAAGTTGAATGTTGTAAATAAGTGCCATGGAGCAAGTGTGCCACCAACTGGAGCATGGAGGGTTGGGACCCCTTCAGAAGGGTCAGCCTGGGTGGGGTGGACAGTTCCTCCCAGTGAAAACAGAAAGACAAGTGCTACGTGGAGGCCTCGTGCGGTAGAAGGGTGACAGTAGTAACACGGGAGAATGAGATTCAAACAACTCAAAGGCATTGAACAGCATAACACACAGCCAAGAGCTGAACCTTGGGCCAGGCACTGCAGCCCAGGGTACGTGGCTTAAGTATGGGGCAGTGACAAGCCAGACCTGGAACCTGTTCCCAGAGATCTACCTTTTCAGGCTGGAGCACAACCTGGATGAAATAAAGTAAGGAAAACCACAGGGACACAGCTTCCATACCAGCTCGCAGGAAGATGCCCCAGAGAGAAAAGTACACCACGTGGTAGTAAGTGGTTGCGCAACCTTGTCCAGGCTGTGCCTGTGCTACTCAGGTCCTGCGGCTGGCCAAATAGTAGAATTGCTGGAAGTGGGGTTGGCACTCTCTGTCTGTGCACTCCATGCTCTCGTCTTCATCTGACAGGGTGATGGTGATCATTTGGGCTGTGAACTCCTCATCTTGATACCGGGTATCTGTCTCCAACATGACCTGGGACTTGAAGAAGCAGTGGTGCATGATCTCCTCATGGTCCTCGGCGACCCTGCTGAGCCTCTGCTTGGGATCTGAGAGCAGCCCCGAGAGCATGGGAGGAGCATGCTCCTCCATGAGGATGAGCTCAAAGAGCTTCTCATGGTCCTGGTTGCAGAAGGGCAGGCAGCTACACACCATCTCATACATGACCATGCCCAGCCCCTCATCAGTCCCCGGCATGCCCATAGTCATTATCTTCCAGCCAGGGGGCCAGGTACTCTGGTGTGCCACAGAAGGTCTTCACAGTGGCTCTGTCCTTGATGCTTTCCTTGCACAGCCCCAAGTCTGTGATCTTGATGTACCCATCCTTGACAAGCACGAGGTTCTCCAGCTTGAGGTAACTGTAGACCACATTCTTCTCTGAGTTCAGGTAGTCTAGGGCTGAGACAATCTCTGAGTCATAGAAATGGCCCAGTTGCGTTAGTCTGGGTTGACTAGAGAAACAAATTCATAGACACTCATATTATGTAAGCCATCATTCTGCTCCACCTCCTAGGGCAGGGTCTCCTCACCTGGCTGTTGTTCACAGCTGCTATCCAAAACCTCGGGCCTGTGTCTAGCACCAGCGAGCCAGGCAGAGCCAGGCCTTGGCTCCTGGAGCCTGCTGCTCTGCATTCGTCGCCCTGGGCAGGGCCTGTCTGGGCTGGAGGTTGTGGGGGCGGCCTCTAGCAGCTTGGTCCTCAGTACTTTACTTTTTAAAAACAGATAAATGGAAGTGCTGCACAATTTGGTGAAGTATATGAAGTGAAAGAAGATATTGGTGTTGGCTCCTATTCTGTTTGCAAGCGATGCATACATACAGCTAACAACATGGAATATGCCGTGAAGGTACTTTCTGGGTCTAGCTTCTTGTTTGTTTCTTATATGTAATTGAAATTACAGGTTAACTGAAATGCATTTTCAACAGAACATGTAAAAACAGAAGATATATAAAATGTTGAGGAAGAACTGTAAGGCTTAATATTTTTATCTTCAATTTATTTTCATAGCATTAATATGGAGAGTGTATTTGGTGAGTGCTTTGGCTCTAGAATAGTTTTTATTTCAATATAGTATTTAAGATAGATTAATTTTGATAATTATATTTATATTCATGTTGTCATTGTGTGGTCTGAGTTAAGTGAAATGTGATAAAATGCTGTTTTTCTGTTTTCTGTTAATATTATTTACAAAAAAATTTTAATGTTAAAATTACTTGAAACATCATTTGTTTAGTTTTAAATATTTATTTTTAAATACACATATAGCCAAATGGAAGATACTTCATTTTTAGAAAAGGTAAATAAATTGTTTTCTTTTATTTTTACTTAGATCATTGACAAAAGTAAGAGAGACCCCTCAGAAGAAATTGAAATTTTGATGCGCTATGGACAACACCCAAACATTATCACTTTAAAGGATGTAGGTATTTTAAAATCTAGATATTAACTAGCTAAATTAATGAAGTTAGGACCTGGCACTTTATTTTGCAGATTTAAATTTTTTTATATCTGTAGTATATTTAGTTCCATTCTGTTAATATAGAAGATACAAGAGATTAGGAATTTGCCAAATTCTGGAAGATTTCACTTGACTGTACAGCCATTAGGACGTCTGGTAGCATAGGGGTTACTTATTCGGCTGCTAGCCAAAAGGGCAGCAGTTTAAAAGCATGAGCCACTCCACAAGAGAAAGATGAGGCTTTATAATCCCATAAAAATTACAGTCTTGTAAGCCCACAAGAGTTACCCTATCCCATAGGATAGCTATGAGTCGGCAATGACTCGATGATAGTGAATTTGACTTTTTGCATACAGCTATTAGCAAGAGCATTATGGATGCTTTGATGGGACATAGTATTAGTCTTTAAATTTGTGGGAGGACATCAAGACATCATTCATGAAAAAAGCAAAAGGTCAGGGAGAAGATGAGCACCTCCCATCTTGATCTATCAACACTATGCCCAAGTGTCCCACCTCATCTTGTTCAGTGCGAGTGACTGGCTCCACAGCAAATATCTAAGTAACGAAGAAAACTTGAAACTATTTGTGAAGTGCAGTTATCCAAATGGCCATGGACACAATTATAAAGATTGATCTGGTTCCAGGAATGGTTATGAATTTGACCTCAAAGTAAAAAGAGGAAGCAATTTTGAAGCCCCTTGTCCATAACAATCTGGATCAAAATGTCCCATACATTGCTGATGTTGTGAGCACAACAGAAAATGTAGCTGTGCATATGTGGGAAAACCTCCAGAAATTTCTTCCTTAGGAGTAAAAGTAAAAGTGGGTGAAAATTGACAATAATATTATGGTTTATAAAGGAGAACAGCTCTTAGGAATTAGTCTAAAAATATGAATTAGTTTCCATATTTGAAATTTACCTTTGTCCCCTTGGGATTTTAAGATGATCACAGAACGGTTGTTCCATTACATTGTGTTATGATTATCTGATGTACTTAAATTATTGTAAATTTAAATATATCTTTTACCAAATTTTGTAATGTATCTTGAATATAATTTAGTCTTTTGTTCTTAAAGTTCCTACAAGTTGACCTTTTTTCTAAAGTTTTATTGACACATAATCCACATGTCATATGATTAATGACTTAAATATATTTAAGAGTTATACAGTTATCACTACAATAAATTTTAGAATATTTTCTTTTTAAAAAGCAAAGGTTATTAGAAAGACAGGAAAGAATCGAAGTGTAGATATCAGAAGAGATCTTCAAACTTGCTCTTAATCATAGAGTAGCTAAAGAAAATGGAAGAAAAGTCAAAGAGCTGAATAGAAAATTTAAAAGTGCAATTTGAGAGAACAAAATAAAATATTATAATGAAGTGTGAAAAGACTTAAAACTCAGAAAGGAAGAACATGCTCAGCATATCTTAAATTGAAAAAACTCAAGAAAAGTTCAAGCCTTGAGTTGCAATATTGAACAATGCTATGGGCAAAATATTAAACAATGCAAGAAGCACCAAAACAAAATGGAAAGAATACACAAAGTCAGTGTGCTTAAAGGAACCATTTAAGGAGGTAGCATATGAGAAAGAACCAATGGTACTTACGGAAGAAATTCAGGCTGAACTGAAAGCATTAGCCATAAACAAAGCTCTAGGAAATGATGGACTACCAATTGAAATATTTCAACAAGATGATAAAGTACTGGAACCATTTACTCGCTTGTGACAAAAAATTTGGAACATAGCTACTCGGCCAACTGACTGGACGAAATCCATATTTGTACCCATTCCAAAGGAAGGTGACCCAACAGAATGCTCAAATGAAAGATTGTCATCTGCAAGTAAATTTGCTGAAGATCATCCAACAATGGTAGCAGAAGTACATTGACATAAAGCTGCCAGATGTTCAGGCTGAAGTCAGAAGAGTGTGTGGAACACGGAATGTTATTGTTGATGTCAAATGGATCTTGGCTGAAAGCAGGGAATACCAGAAAGATGTTTATGTTTTATTCAAGAAGCAAAGGTATTTATGTGTACTATAACAAACTATGGGTAACCTTGAGAAGAAGAGGAATCCCAGAGCAGTTTATTGTGCTCATGAAGTACTTTTACATGGATCAAGAGGCAGTTGTGCAAACACAAGGAAGTAGTGCATGCTTTAAAATCAGGAAAGGTTTGTGACAGGGTTGTATCCTCTCACCATACTTATTTAATCTGCATGCTGAGCACATCATGAGAGAAGGTGGATCATATAGTGAATGCAGTAGCAGTATTGGAGAAAGGCTTATTAAAACCTGTGATATGCTGATAACACAACCTTGCTTGTACATAGTGAGGAGGACTTGAAGCACTTGCTGAGCAAATTCAAGGATTGTAGCTTTCAGTATGGATTACTACTCCATGTAAAGAAAATGAAAATCCTCACAACTGGTCCAATAGCTAACATCATGATAAATGGAGAAAAGATTGAAATTGTCAAGGTTTTTGTCTTGCTTGGATCCACAAACAATGCTCATGGAAGCATCAGTCAAGAGATTCAAAGATGGGTAAATCTGCTGCATTGGGTAAATCTGCTGCATAAGACTTCTTTAGAGTATTGAGAATCAGAGCGGTAACTTTGAGGATTAAGATGTGCCTGACTCATGCCAAGGTATTTTCAGTTAACTCATACGCATGTGAAAGTTGGACATTGAATGAGGAAGACTGAAGAAGAACTGATGTGTTTGTAGTGCTGAAGAAGAATATTAAAAGTATTATGGACTGATAAAAGAACAAACAAATCTATCTTTGAAAAAGTATAGAAAGCTTCTTAGAGGCAAGGATGGCCAGACTTCATCTTGTGTACTTTGGACATATTGTCAGGAGAGAGCAGTCACTGGAGAAAGTTATCATGCTTGGTAAAGTATAGGGGCTTCAAAAAAGTGGAATGCACTCAACAATATGGATTGACATAGTAGCTGCAACAGTACGCTCAAGTATAAGAACAATTGTGAGGGTGGTACAGGACAGGGCAGTGTTGTATTCTGTTGTACATACGGTTGCTATGAGTAGGCACCGATTGGATAACACCTAAGAACAACATAAAATAATTTTGCTAAATGTTACTGAATTGAATATTGTCTTTGAATATTAGAAAATATTAATTTCCCATTAGAGAAAGCAAACAGAACTAATAGTGATTAATGTGATCAATTTGTTTCAGTTAAAATTAAATACTTTTATATATATAATATATATAGCTACTTCTCTTCCCTAGTAAGTGCTAGCCTCTTCATAGTAGTAAGTATATTATTTTTATATTAATGTACTCCTGAGTACGCTTACTACTATAAAGAAGTTTACGCTTAGTAGGGAAGAGAAGTAGCTGTATATGAGATAAATATAATTGATAGGCACCAATCCAGAAATTAACACCACTGCATTTAAATTGATTCTCTTAGTGACCCTATAGAATTGAGTAGAACTACCCGATAGGGTTTCCAAGACTATCATTCTTTATGAAAGCTTACTGCTATATGTATATCCTGTTGAGCTCCTGGTGGGTTTATCCTTTTGTTTTGCACCAAGGTTACTATACCATCAGCGTTACTTTGAAAGGTACAAAGTTATATATATATATATATATATATATTTGGTGAGTTGTAACCTACATCAAAAGTTAGTAAAATTATTTTGGTGTGTTGTCTGAATTAGTGTACTCAATTGTATCTCTCTGGGTTCTATTATCCATTGCAATGCCTACACAGAACTCACAGGCAAAATTCATGATTAAAGGGTTTATTAAGGAAGTTAACAAGTTGTAATGCCAGTGAGACGATTGTAATGCTCAAGGTTGAGTTATCAGTACATCTTACAAAGTTCTGTGAAGTGTGCTAGTAAATGCCCAAAGGGCATACTACTTTTCTATAACTCTCAACCTGAAGGCATTTAAACTTAAGCTACGTGGGTCAGCAAACCCAACTCCAAGATTTAAGTGGCCAGAGCCACCTCACTCCAGTAAGCTGAATCCTGAAGGCACTCGGCTCCACATCCATGGGTCAGCAAGTCCAACTTCCCCAATTAAGTTCCCAGAGCTACCCCGCTCTGCATGTCAGCCTCTTGCACAAAAGCACTCATCTTTACTTGGTCTATGGATTGGGAAGTCCACCACTCATTGCTCTGCTCTGCTACTGCTTCTGTTGCTGCTCTCTGCAGGTATAGCTGTCTTCTAGATACAGGAGGTTCCTGTATAGGGATATCAGGTCCAGAGGATGCACTCTACTCCTGGCTCTTGTTAGTAATGAGCTCCTGCCCCCTGCTTCTCATTTTATACACAGTAGAATAGAAATGATACTCAGGGAATTCGTTTGTAATTACCCACAGGTTAATCCTATCAGTATCTTTCCCTCACTTTCTTACCAGATCCATGCAAAGAAAGGTTGTTTGGTGGGAGTTAGGGACTTCGGCTAGAAGATTCATCCTAAATAATTCACTATTCCTCCTATATGTTTAACATGGTTTCAAAGGACTGTGTAGGAGTTTGTTTAGCTAATGCAGTCTTCAGTACAGTGTATTCTACATTAACAGTAAAGGATTTATTTTTTTACACTAAAGGTTCATTAAGAAAGCATAGTAAGTATTATTTAAGTGTATTAGAATTGTAAATAGTAACATTGAAATATATGTTTTCTTTTAGGTCTATGATGATGGTAGATATGCTTACCTTGTTACGGATTTGATGAAAGGAGGAGAGCTACTTGACCGCATTCTCAAACAAAAATGCTTCTCAGAACGGGAGGCTAGTGAAGTACTGTATGTAATAACTAAAACGGTTGACTATCTTCATTGTCAAGGAGTAAGTTGTAGTTATATTCTTCCCTAACCTTGACTTTGAACTTATTAAACATAATCAAATGTAAAAATGAAACCTAGAATTATATCATGGGCACATCATGAGTATCATTCAAATTGCTCTCTCCTTACCATTTACAGCTTTGGCAGTAAGATGACTATATCTTGGCCCTTGCTTACCTGCTTCCAAAATACAGTATGATGTTTGAATTAAAAACATATAAAGTATTAATATAATCTGTGCAGGAGAGGGTAGGCTAGTTATTTCCACCCTGTCTCTTCATAAAGAAGGTTAATTATTTGGGTTATATAAAAGTCCGTTTATATTTATATATTTATATAAATCAATGAAGGGACAAAATGGAAAATAATTTTAGAGTTCTTAACAGTTACAATAGTTGATTTTATACCCACTTAATAAGAAATATACACATAAGAATTAGTATAATAAATAATTCTACAAGGATCCTTCTTGTAATTTAAAAAAACAGACAATAGACATCTACACCGCCCTGTACAAAATGCCTGAGACAGGATCAGGAAAAGAATCTGACAGCGATGAATCAGTACTAGAGCTTGAGAAACAGGATTTCATGCAGGCAACCACACAACAAGTCCAGCTGGTGGCAGCAGCTGAAATTGATGAGGAATCAGTGAGTGAAGCAAAGACAGTTGGAGTGAAAAGAAGGCAAGCAAGGCTATATCCAAACTAGGTCTTCGATAAGTCACAGGGTTTACTAGAATCACTATCCAGAAATCAAAGAATATCCTCTTTGTCATCAGAAAGCCAGATAGCCATAAGAGCCCCACTTCAGATACCTACATAGTTTTGGGGGAAACCAAGATTGAGGATTTTTCTCAGTATGCACTGCTAGCAGCTGCTGAGAAATTCAAAGCTAAAGGTGAAGTTGGCTGCAGCCTTTAAGAAAACAAACTCCAACTTTATAAAAGGAGAGTCAAGAGGAAGAGGTTGATGAATCAGGTGTGGAAGTTAAGGACCTATAGCATTGGTCATGTCATAAGCAAAGCTATAAAGTATAAAGAACAAAGGCAGTCCAAGCCCTGCCTTATGATACTGTAATTCTGTAACAGCATTAACAGTGTAACCATCTGAAAACAAAGACCTTTTTTGTTTTGGTTTTTCAAAAGACTAACTGCAGTTTGGTTTGAAATTTGTACTGTTTCTTTCATTAATGAAGTTATGGCTTCTTGTTGGATGAACGCTTGGGTGCTTGGTCTCTTCCCTACAAAGAACATGAAGGTTCCATAAGCAAGAACACATATTTATTGCCCGTCAGACCTCAGCTTCAGTTGAAAAAAATTATTGCACAAATACCTCTCTTAAAACTTGAGCCTTTTTCTTTTTTTTTTTTTTCAGTTTTAACAAACCACATTTCTTTTTTTATTTGTTTGTTTGTTTTGTTTTTAAACATTTTATTAGGGGCTCATACAATTGTTATCGCAATCCATACACACATCAATTGTGTAAAGAGCATTTGTATATCATTCTCAAAACATTTTCTCTCCACTTAAACCCCCGACATTAAGTCCTCATTTTTCCCCTCCCTCCCCGCTTCCCCCCTCCCTCATGAGCCCTTGATAGTTTATAAATTGGTATTTTGTCATATCTTGCCCTGTCCGACGTCTCCCTTCACCCACTTTTCGGTTGTCTGTCCCCCAGGGAGGAGGTCACATATAGTTCCTTGCAATCGGCAACCCCCTTCCCTACCCATCCTCCCTTTACCCTCCCTGTTTCGCCACCCACACCACTGGTCCTGTAGGGCTCATCCGCCCTGGATTCCCTGTATTTTCAGCTCCTATCTGTACCAGTGTACATCCTCTGGTCTAGCCAGACCTGCAAGGCCGAATTCGAGTCATGGTAGTGGGAGCAGGGAGGAAACATTTAGGAACTAGAGGAAAGTTGTATTTCTCATCGTTGTTACATCGCACCCTGACTGGCTCGTCTCCTCCCCGAGACCCCTTTTCATCTCTTGTGAGAAGTTAGTGATCTAAGCAATCTATTATGTCCTTGTCTTCAAATACTATAATGTTACTGTAAAATTACTCGTTTCTAGTTTCTGCTCCACATAATTAACTCTAGCAAATCCTAATTCTTTTTTTCTTTAACAATCAGCCCCTCCTCGGAACTAGATTCTTTCTGAATACATATTCAGAGACTCATCAGGCCTCTGAAAAGCAGTTCATGCACATTGGTTATGTCTTGATGTGTGAGGGTTTGGTGCAGTGTCTGAGAAGATAATGTCTCTGTAGGAAAGAAGAGTACACATGGAAAAAGCTACTTCATCAATGGGAGGATTTTGTCTACTGTATACATTGCAGGTGCTCTGCTCTTAGCCACGTACTGTACACGTACAGCAGAGTATGAAGCCATTAAGACATCAACCTAATCAGGCAACAGCTTGTTGAAAGATGACTATTTACCAAAGTAAAGAATATAAAATGAGATGATATCCTTTCCTAAACATGGGTTTTGTTTGTTTTGTTTGTTTTGCTTTGTTACCTATTCATGAGAAGAGTAAAGTTTCTAAGTAAAAAAAAAACCCCACTCAATTGTATATATGGTATAATAGATTATATTTTCAATATTTTGAAATATAAATTATTATATAATACAGTCAGAATGATTTCATTATACTTTAATTCATTTGACTGTCTTTATCAGCTCTCTCTTATATAAAAGACAAGGCTTTCTTAGAATCGAACTTATAAGTTCTTACATCAGTTAAAAAAATGGATGGTAGGTATTTAGTGAGTAGTTGAGCATGTCAGTCATGAAAAGGTATTACAGATTGAAAGATGAGTAAAACTTTTTCCTCAACATAAAAATACCTCTCAGTGTAGTAAACTGCTGATTAAAAGTAATACTGTATTAAATGAAGAAGACAATAATGATAAGAAAATTATCACATAGAACATACCATATTGTTTGTTGGGTTCTAATATTTTTATTTAGTTATTTTATATTAATTTTTTTGTTTCTCTGCTAGAACTTATTCTTACCATGGTTTTTATGCAGACAAGACATGTTTTACTTAAAGATAGTTAAAACAGCCACTTTAAAATCCTTGATTATTATGAATCACAACATGTGATTCATCTCAGAGTTGGACTTGGTTTTCTTTTTCCATGAGACTATATTCGGTTCTTTGTAAGTCAGATATTTTAATATTGTATTGTGCACATTATGAATATTAAGTTGTGAAGATTTTTTTATTATGTTCCTGTACTCTAGTGTGTATTATTATTTCCTTTGTTTTCGTGGATTATTTTCTTGGCTCGGCTTAAGCGACAAACTCTGTTTCTTGAGCAGGAGTTCTAGTTTCTGTTTATTCCATTTATGTGTATACAAGCTGCTTTGAACCTCCTACACATCCATAGTGCAGTAATCAGCGCCAATACTTTACTAGTCCTTCAAGCCAGAAAGAGTGGTTTTTGGTTTTGTTTTTTGTCTGCATGTGTCCTCCCACTGAAATATATCATTGGAACTATATTTAACCCCAAGCTAAAAGTTACAACTGTGGGCACTTAACCCTGTTGTTTTCTATGTCTATTCATACGAAATATATTCTCCTCACCAGAATCTGTCCACGTCTGGCTTCTGTTTCCTCTTTACTATATTTACTATTAGGGATAACAGCTGGTGTATAGTCTATCGTATCCAGACCAAAAACCATATTCACTGCCATCAAGTCGAAACCGATTTATAGCAACCCTATAGGATGGGGTAGACTGCCCTTGTGAGCCTCTAAGACTATAACTGTTTAGAGGAGTAGAAAGCTTTATCATATCCAGAAGTGGAACTGAAATTTGGATTTTGATATTTTGAGATGGGAAGTAGTTAACAAAACAGGTGACGTGTAGAAACTGGAGTATATACCTTATATAGATAATTTTCTGTGTATACAAGGTATCAATCCCAGATTTTCCTTCCCCGAGAACAGTGGTTTTCAACCTTCCTAATACTGTGACCCTTTAATCCAGTTCCTCATGTTGTGATGACCCACAACCATAAAATTATTTTCGTTTCTACTTTATAACTATTTTGCTACTATTGTGAATCTTAATGTAAATATCTGATATGCAGGATGTATTTTCATTGTTACAAATTGAACATAATTAAAGCATAGTGATTAATCAATTGCAAAATATTTATTTCTAGTGACAAATAAATGAAATTTTGTCTTGAAGCATGGTGTAGCAGGGGTAACAGTCTTCACACCAGGTATTCATGTATGGGCGTATCTGCATGTGGGTAGACCCACCTGGAGATGGATAGAGGAAAGGTGTCTCAGTTCCTAAGACCATCAGAAATGTGTTATCCGATGGTCTTAGGTGACCCCTGTGAAAGGGTCATTGGACCCCCAAAGGGGCCATGACCCACAGGTTGAGAGCCGTTGCCCTAGAAGTATGTTAAATGTTTCATTTCATAGATATGAAATTGCCTATACAAGCCTAATCCTTTTTTCCCTTTATTTTTAAGGTTGTTCATCGTGATCTTAAACCTAGTAATATCTTGTATATGGATGAATCAGCCAGTGCAGACTCAATAAAGATCTGTGATTTTGGATTTGCAAAACAACTTCGAGGAGAAAATGGACTTCTTTTAACTCCATGTTACACTGCAAACTTTGTAGCACCTGAGGTATTCTTTAAACCTTGAGTACTTGCATTTCATCCTTCTCCTTTGAATGTGTGTGGTATAATATAAGCTAGAGAGATAAAGGATGAATTACTTTTTCCTTTCTTAACTAGAAATCGTTTTGAAAAATAATTTGATTTGCATATACTTCACATATGTACAATTGAATTCAATCATATTAAGAACATTTGTGCAATCATCATGGCAATCAATTTCAGGACATTTTCTTGTCGTATTCATTATTGTTACCACCCCACTGTCCCCATCCTCTGTTGCCATAGTCCTAGGCAATTGTCAATCCAATTACTGCCTCTATAGATCTACCTAGCCTGGATGTCATGTACAGAATATCATGCAAAACACAAACAGAAAGCAAACAAACAAAAGGCAAGAAGAACGAGTAGAAAATACATAGGAAAGCCTCAATCAAAAAGAAAGTAGAAAATATTAAAAACTAAAACAACTTTAACGTGGGTCAGCAATAAAACCCAAAATTCACTGCCATCGAGTCAGTGTCAACTCATAGCGATCTTATAGGACGGGTAGAACTGCCCCTGTGAGCATCCAAGAATGTAACTATACACTGGAGTAGAAGGCACTGACTTCCAAGAAGCATGTATTCTTCTGGGTAGACTAGAGAAACAAATCCAGAGACACTCATATATATGTAAGAGAGACCTTTATATCAAAGAGTAATTGTATATTAAGAAAACATCCCAGCCCAGTCCAGATCTAGTCCATAAGTCTGATAATAGCCCATATGTCCGATACCAGTCTGTAAATTCCTCTTCAGACTCACACAACACATCCAATGACGCTGAGTGCAGGAAGATCACAGGCCAGTGGGTGGAAAGCCTTGTGGACCAGTGGCAGTGGAAGCATCTCAGCACTGGTGCGGGTCTCCATGTGTCTCCTCCAGCACCAAGGGCTCTCTCTGCTATCAGTATAGCTCCATATGGCTTGTCAACAGGAATGACATGCAGGGAGATGAAGCAGAGAGTGTGTTGCCAGCCTCCAGGGAGGAAGACAGGAATTCCCAGAATCCTCAGGAGAAGGCCATGCTCACACAGAGGCTTCATTGACTATAACCTGATTGACAGGCTAGATTCCACCCTTTGCAAGTTGACAGGAGATTGTGCCACAGAGAAGCTGGTGGGTTTGAACTACACACCTTTCAATGAGCAGTTTGTGCATAGCCACGGACTCACCAGGGCTCCAGATGTGTAAAAGGGACATCAAATTAGAAGATATTTCATTTTAACCTAACTACATCTGCCATAATTGACTTTATAACATAATTGACTTTATAATGCTGATACCATTCTCTCCTTCACATTT